ACCACTCCGGAGTGCCACGAGTTTTAGAAGAGTTTCTCCAGGGGCCCCGCAATGACTTTGGCCAGCTCCATTAGCACACTCCGATGAAGTTTGTCTGGTCCTGCTAACTTATATATGTCTAATTTCTTTAACTGATTATACATCAGTTCTACACCAATAGTAGGGAGGTAGTCATTCCTGCTCTGCTCATTTTGTACCGTATCTGGCATGATTTTTCCCTTGGCCCAGTAAAATATTGAAGCCAAGTAGTCATTCAGAAGTTTAGTTTTCTCCTGAGTGCCATTAACCAGATGTCCTGAGTTGTTGAGCAATGGCCCCACACTCCCATTTGTTTTCTTCCTGTTCCCTATGTAACTAAAGAAGGACTTCATGTTGTCCTTGATTCCTGTTGCTAATCTAAGTTCAGTCACCACCTTAGCCTTTCTAATTTGTTCCCTACAAGTGTGGGCTGTTGTTGTATAGTCCTCCTTGGGGCCTGTCCCCAGCTTCCATTGTTTGTATGCCTCTCTCTTCTTTCTTAGGAGGACCATGAATTCCCTGTTTAGCCAAGAGGGCTTCCCAGACCTTCTAGTACTTTTCCTCCCAATGGGAATGGATTTCCTTTGTGCTTCAAGGATCGTATCCTTAAGAAACGACCACTCTTCATGCACTCCTTTCACCTTCAGCCTCAGGTCTCGCAGTGCTACCCCTACTAGTGACCTGAGCTTGTTGAAATTTGCATTTTTGAGACTTCAGCCCTGCTATCAGATTTGTCTACCTTATGACGGACAGTAAATGTGATGGTCTTATGGTCGCTGTCGCCCAGGCTACCCTCTATATTTAAGTCGGTCACCAGGTCATCTCCTTTGGCCAGGACGAGTCTAGGAGAGCACTACCTCTGGTAATCCTGTGCACCTCCTGACCCAAGAAGAGCTCTTTGATGCAGATCAGAAAGAAATGCGACCGATCTGACTTGGCCAAGTGTTGCTCCCAGGAGGTGTCTGGATAATTGAAACCGCCCATGATGACCATGTCCCATGGATAGTGATTAAAGACAGG